TACGCTGTTACGACACTTTTGACGTAACCGCTCATCTTTTTGACGTAACCCTACGGCACCAATTTTCTGCACCTCTATCCTGTACTATAATCGGGCAACATTTCACAGATCATCCAATCAGATTAAAGTTCGATATCTATGCTTATCTGTTATCAACCAATTACCGTTAAATTGTAGTTTTAATCAGCTCAACATGTTTTCTCGAACTGCTTCGATTTATAGAAGCGGAGCGTCTAAGGTCATTCTTAACCGGCTTGTTTTCACATCATGTTCTTTCTCTAAATGTAACAATTTATCAAAGAAACATACATTTTTGCAACCAAAAGCACCATATCATAGGAGACGACTTCATAATCACGGATCGCATTCTCACGAAGAACATGGCCATTATGGCTTAGCACTGGCTTTTTCTGGATCCTGTAAAAAAGCATCTTTATTAAATATATATTATATTTATTATTGGTTATATACATTTATTAATCTTTAAAATTCTCGGAAAAGCAAACCGAGGAACAAAGATAACATTGATAGGATTAGGCGCCAATGTTGGTTTGACTGTTATAAAGGGTATAGCTGGTTGGTAAATATTTTACCATAAGTATGTCAATTCGTGTCTCATTATAATTTTGCAGATACCAACATTATGTTTTAAATCAAGGGTGATGAATTCTGCATCCTTAGTGGCAGATGCTGCACATTCTCTAAGTGGCAAGTACTTAATCAAATAGTTGAATAATTATATTTCATTTATACTGTGTAAACGTATTTGACATTGACCTTGACTTTGATGTGCTTTCAATTTAGATTTAATTAGCGATTTTGTAACATTATATACATTTCGAAAATCAAGAAAACCTCCCGATGAAACGCATCCCTATGGTTATGGTAAGTTAATATCTCATCATTTTTCTAAACTAAATGACCTTTATTTTAATTCACTATATTATTTTAAGGTAAATATGAAACTGTCGGATCACTCGCTGTCTCTTCATTATTGATTATGGGTGCTATTGGAATCGGTCATCATTCCTACGAGCTGCTTATGAGTGCAATACCACCTGACTCTTCTTTTAATGTCAGTGAAATGAATCTTAATACACTAAATAATCGTCCGCACTTGAATCCAAATGCCGCATGGTTTGCCGCTATATCTGTCGTCGTAAAAGAGGCTTTATTTAGATCAAGTACTTTATGTTCTTTGATAAATTATATATATGATCTTTAATAATCTTTAATAATCTTTAATAATAATTAATTATTACTACAATTGATTATTCTTAAAAGCGATGAAAATTGCGTCAGAAGAGCGATCCGATGTTTTATTTGCCAATGCGTGGTGTGTAATAATGTTCTAACATGATAGATAAATAAAAAGTTACCTTATTTATTAGTATTACTCATATATAAATAACAGGCATCATCGAAGTGATGCTGCATCCAGCTTAGTAGCATTGGTCTCGATTGGAGGAAGCGCTTTCGGTTTTCCACTTCTTGATCCTATAGGTGGAATTTTAGTAGCTGGAATGATTCTGAAAAATGGAATTGAAATTATGATATCATCGTTAAAAGAATTGGTTGATAGGGGAGTAAAAGAAGATGTCATAAAGAAAGTTGAAAAGGCTGTTTATAAAATTCAGGTTTTCATTTTATTAAATATGTGGTTATGCATACAACTTTTAATATTATATTCTTATATAACTCTCTTTATTATTAGGTCAATGAGCCAAGTATTATCAAATTTCATAACATAAGAGGTCGCAAGTCTGGCCCATTTCATTTGATTGATATGATTGTACAGGTTGATCCAGACTTGAAAATTTCCAAAGTACGTCATATTGAGGAGGAAATACAAAAAGAGGTTAAAAAAGAATGTAAAAGTGTCAAAGAGGTCCTAGTTAATTTGGACACTAACGATATTAAACACTAAACGCTTAAACTTTAACGGTCATAGTTGGATAACGAATTTTTACGGATATAGTCACGATGAATTTGTAAATTAAATTTAAAATTCCAATTCTTCATCAGACTTTAAATGTTATTTCATTGTTCACATTTTAATTAATTGTTAATCTGGATACAATAGTATTTATTTTTCCTATGAGCAATATTTAGATAAATTACTCAATAAACATATCTTATTTTTTAACCCTCTTTATCAAAGAAGGAGACAACACGTTGACACTTTGATCTGTTGTTGAATTTACATTATCATTTTGAACTGCCTTTCTTTTGACACGCATCTGCAAATTATTAACCGGAGTATTATTAAGCTGCTGACTATCATTATGTGTTACGGTACTATTATCTACCGTAAATTTAATAATTAAATCTTCCGGATTAGCTTTTTCTTGTAGTTCGGAAAAATAACGACACCAATTTGAGGTTGACCCAATTGCAGCTTCTTCAGTATGGAATTCTTGAGCAAAAAGCTCCCCAAGCGCTTGAACATACGTGTGAGCACTAACAACAACTCCACCGACTTCTTCTTCAAGTTCTTTCTTTATTCCCGTAATAAAACTTTGATCTATAACGGGCATTGTCTTTATATCCTGATTTACTAAACTTTGATCCATAACGGGCATTGTCTTTATATCCTGATTTACTAAACATTGATCCATAACGGGCACTGTCTTTATATCCTGATTTACTAAACCTTGATCATCTTCTAAGGCAGCCTCAATCCAAAAGAAACCGGCCTGTTTCCCGCCAGCAAATTCACCTCCAATAGATATCAACTCCCAGAAATTCTTTACTGTCAATGATGATTCTCTAGCAGTGTCCAACCATCTTGACTTTGCATCATCCTCAAACTTAGGAATAACTTTTATTGCTTTTTCTTCATCCGGATACGGATATCCATATTGCCAGAATAAATTTTCACGTTTTTCCACTTCACCGTCCACATTATCTTTAATAAATGAGCGTGCAATTTTTTCGGAAGACATTCCAGGAAAAAAAAACCATCCTCGTTTCTTTTGAGTTTTCTCTTGTACACTACATATATCGTCATGTAAAAAAGGTTGTTGAAGAATACTTTTCCACCATTTTAATAATTCAGAGTCACTTAATACGCGCTTCGTCGGATTTTTCTCTGAAAGGTGAAATAGGTATTGGGGATGTGGCCGTGCGAAAACATTAATTTTGATCATTCTACGTTTCGATAAAAGTTGTTTATTAATGCTAGCGTCTTCTAAATAGAATTTCATGTAGGCGGTCAACAAATTTTTGGTAGGGGTGGAAGAACAAGGACTATATCCAGTAGTATCCACTTTAGATATATAGATATTAAGTGAATTTGTGTCAAAATCATGATATTCATAAATTTCTACACCGGTGACAAACACTTCTTTGTCGTTCGACGGAAATTTCTCATTTACAAGTAATAATAGTTGCCTCTCAAAGAGATTAGAATTGTCGGTGTTCGGACCAGGCTTGGGTGGTTTAGACAACGTCAAAGAGTCTTTATGTGTCAGTCTAGTTGAAAGCGCGTATATAGTGTATGTATGTACACCTCTAACTGTTTGCTTTAAAGAACTTGCTAGATAATCGATTAGGCGCGTCGAATTTATGTTTGTCGGTTCGTCTGTCAATTTTAAAATAATGTTATTACATTCATTAAGAACAGAGCAAAAGTGGCTGTACGCCTATCTAAGATTATACCAGTAGCTGCTCTTGAAGGATTACTTGAAGCCATATAAAATTATTAATTAACATATGAGTGCCGACAAGCGAAAACAGGTAATTGGGAGTTTTCCGAAATTAATTTTACAGATCGAACCCCGAAAAATGTGATTTAATATTAACACACCATATAATTTATGTTGTAAGCGGAGCCGGCAAAAATCGAAATTGCTGGTTTTCGCTTGGCAGCACTCAGGATTCAATTTTGTTACACGCGATATTAGCCAATTACTTTGATTGGATAGTTGAACAAACAACCAACGCGCCCCTGAACAAAACTTATGTCACTTGGTTTTTTTTTTCGTAACCTTAGAACTACCCCAGGATCGCCAGAAAAATTACTATGTAATTTTTACTGTCACATGATGATCGACAGAAATAAGCCAATAATGAATCACGATTTGGTGTAACGTTACGCGATCAGAAAAGTTCAAAACAAACGTTCGTTTAGCAAAACTCGCCTATAACTCAAAATCTACATAAGAAATCGCCTTCTGTGCATTAACAAAAAGTTTTCCTTAAGCGATTTTACTACTAAAAACTCTCAAAACCCTAACCTTAGCACTGACCCTAACCCTAACCTAAACGAACTTGATGATTTTCGACAATCATGTGACAGTAAAATTTTTCTGGCGATGCTGGGGAAGATTAACCTTAGTCATTTGTTATATGATATTATGTCATGATACACTTAGTCACTTAGTTACAAATATAGTAACAAAAATCACTTGTTAATAAAAATAATATAAAATAATATATATAGGTCATTATATTATAGAACTTTAGCCATGGCAAAAAAATTGGCAGATCACGTGCTGTAGATTATATTTGAAGAATTTTTATTGGATGTCAATTATTTTTATTTTTAAAATTTTCTTAAACTTTAATTGAAGATAACTTGGCACTTACCTGCCCAATTTTAATAAAATTTTGTTCTATTTATTACTGAACTGTAGAATAAAATTTTGTTCTATTTTATTACTGAACTGTAGAATAAAATTTTGTTCTATTTTATTACTAAACTGTAGAATAAAATTTTGTTCTATTTTATTACTGAACTGTAGAATTAAACAACAAAAATTTTTATTACTATTGTTAAGGCAGGTGCCAAGATATATTCGATTAAAATTTTGTACAAATCTTTGCTATAACTTTTAACAAATATTTTTAGAAATTTCAAAAAACTTTGAAGGTATCTTGACACCCACCTAACCAATTTTAATAAAATTATTTTTTTTCAGTTCTGCAATTCTATGCAATTAAAATAAAAAATATTTTATCAAAATTGGTTAGGTAGGTACTAAGATATCTTCAATCAAAATTTAAAAAAAATTTGGCTGCAGCTTCTAATATTTTAACATTTTTAAAATTTTCAGAAATTTTGATCAAAGATATCTTGGTACCCACTTGACCAGTTTTGATAAAAATATTTTTATTTTAATTGTACAGAACTGTAGAATTTAAAGAAAAAAATATATATTGAAATTGGTTAAGTGGATACCAAGATATCTTTGATCAAAGTTTCTAAAATTTTTAAAAAATGTTAAAAGCCATAGCTAAATTTTTTTTAAAACTTTGATCGAAAATATTTTAGCACCCACCTAACCAATTTTGATAAAATCTTTTTATTTTAATTGTACAGAATTACAGAACTAAAAGAAAAATAATTTTATTAAAATTGGTTAGGTGGGTGCTAAGTTATCTTTGATTAGTTTTAAAAATTTTGCTGCGGCTTCTAACATTTTTTTAAAGATTTCAAAAACTTTAATCGAAGATATCTTGGTACCCACCTGACCAATTTCAATTCTTTAAATTCTGGAGTTTTGTACAATTAAAATAAAACTACTTTTATCTAAATTGGTCAAGTGGGTACCAGAATATTTTCGATCAAAGTTTAGCTATGGCTTCTTATATTTTTAAAAACTTAAATTGAAAATACCTTGGTACCCACCTAACCAATTTTAATAAAATTATTTCTTTAAATTTTGCAGTTCTGTACAATTAAAATAAAAATATTTTTACAAAATTGGTCAGATTGGTACAAGATATCTTTGATCAAAGTTTTAAAAAAATTTAGCTATAACTTCTAGCATTAAAAATTTCAGAAACTTTAATCAAATATATTTTGGTACCCACCCAACCAATTTCGATAAAATTTTTTTTCTTTTAATTTTACAGTATTGTAAAGTTAAAAAAAATTCATTAGTAGATATAGAGTGTTTAATTTCTATGTTATTTCTTGATTTGATAATATTAATAAACTTTATTTTTTACCAAATGCTTTTTTTCTGATTAAACTAACTTTTTGCATTTGGTGAAATGATATTGCAAAAAAATAGATTTCAGGAAGTTTAAAAAAAATTTTGTCTTGGCCTTTAATTAATAATTAAAAATTTCTATAATAGTAACTTTAGATAATTATATAATAGTTACATAGCGAAAGATTTAACTTAACTATACACATAATCATGTCTGAAGAAATGCATATTAAATTAAGATTTCTCTTTTCAATCCATATTTAGTTAGTATTATCTAAGTGAACTCTTTTTTTCAATCTATATTTAGTTAGTATTACTATTCGGCCGAATTCTGTAATTATTCATTCAACTATGTATAATATTTCAAAGTTGAATTTAAAAATACATCAGCAAAATATATTAACATAATCTTATGTAAATTATTACAGCCTGAAATATTGTGCAATAATTATGGTCTGGGCATAATATTGTGCAATAAATTGTGAAATATTGTGCAATATATAATATAATATTATGAAATATATTACACAAAATTATGAAACTTATAGCACAATATTACGCTATACATTGTGCAATATTTCAAATTAATTCGAAACAATTCGAATAAACATAAATGCATCAAAATAGCAAAATATTTATAAACTAAAAGATAGCTACTAATAAGTAGGAAAAGCTAATTAATTCGAATTTATCAAATACTATTTGAAATATTTTAGGAAATTTCGAATTAATTTGAAATAAATTAAATAAAATATAAATAATAAAAAATATATTTAAATGCAATAATTATACAATTTATTAGATATTTTCAAATTAATTCGAAAAAAGCTAAATTTATAGACTTTATTTAAATAAACAAAATATAAATTTTATAACTTAAAATATATT